GTTCAGAGCTAAACCTGGCTAATAAGCCCAGAGGCACAGACATGGAGACAGAGACCCTGTCCTGAGTGTCCCCAGTCTCCAGCCTGTTTACATCCAGCTGTCACTTCCCCTAGCGCTGAGCGATGCCCAATGGGATGGCCCAGAGCTGCCTTATAGACGTTTCATTCTCTGCTACAGCTCTTACTTGCTGCAGACGGTGCAGTGAGAGAGGTGCGGGACGTGGCTGCATGAGCTAGATTCCCTGGGAAGAAACTTCCACCTCAGGATTCACAGGTACCATCCTCTCCTCCTAGATCCCCAATGCGCTATGCGTGTCCTGGGTGTGTTGGGAGAGGGAGTTAGTCTGTGGTCTTTTTTGCACTGCACAGACCCTGAACCTCTCAGGGCCCTTCCCATTCTTACGTAAGAACACAAGAACGGCCAGACTAGGTCAGACCAACGGTCCATCCAGCCCAGTGTCCTGTCTGCCGACCGTGGCCAATCCAGGTGCCCCGGAGGGATGGAAAAGGATAGTTAAACCTCACATGATACCTCCTCTGTCACCCAGCTGTAGAGAACAGAGCCCAGGGACACCATTTCCTGCTTCTGCATCCTGGCTGACACCTTCAGCTCTAAGGTTGGGGCATTTCTGTGGCCCAGGGGATCCGTCAGGAGGAAAGGTGTCAGTAGCTGTATGATAGAAAGCAAAACTCTCAGGCTGTGGCCCATGGGTTGCTCAGGCTCTACGGAGGGAAAACTCTCCTTGGAGGAAGAACAGAACAAAGCCCTCGGGGGCCAGCTGTGTGTTCATGCCCAGACACTGTCACCTCCTCCCCTCACATCTCAGGGCTCTGGCTGCTAACAGGGTGGCTGTTTCCTTACTTGTATCTGTTGCAAAGCCAGGAGGTGATGGGGGTCCTCACTGTTACAGATTGAAGGATTTTCCAATGTGGGTCACAAACCGTCTCTCCTGTCACATTAGAGGAGCAGGCTGAACTGTCATGTCTGAAACTTTCTAATAACTAGCCACACCGCAGCAGGCCTCTCTTGGGGCAAAATTTCAGGCCAAATGATTAACAATAGTCAAAGTGATTAACAATTAAAATGAGACCTTCTAACTGACAGTGCCAGACTGTCTGCACTCAATGTGATACTCCCAGCAGCTTCCATGGTCAATCCATTGCTTGCAAACAGAGCGATTTCAAACAGGAGGAAGTTTTGCGAGGGGCGGTGTCCTGGTGAAGTAGGGCAATTTACAGGAGTTTGGGGTAAGTGGCTCTCTGGAGTGTGTGTGTTTGTGTTCGGGGGTTCTGGGCTTGTGTTCATTTGTTTGGAGATTCCTGTGCTGCGCTGTTGGTTTGTTTGAAAGGCCGTCTGCTCAGGCTGGCATATGGAAGCTTTGAGCCTTAATTAGGATTTGAAATCTAAAACTCTCTGCCCATTGGTCGAGCTGAAGCCAAAGGGAGGGGCTATCAGGAAGGCCAGAGCTTATACAGCCTGCTAGTAAGCAACTAGGGAATCTTGGGAACTGGGCGATGGCAAACAGGAGGGAATTTTGAGAGGGGAGTGTAGAAGGGGCGCTTAGAGGGAGCAAGCTTCTTTAGACACTCTTTGAAACTTGAGACTAAACTATATCCCAAACATTTAAATAACCCCCCATATAGAACCTTATTATTCATAGGAGAAAATTCAGGCAGAAGCCGAGCAGCAGAGTGGGGGCTATCCTCTTTATTGCATCTAGTGTAATATGTATTATTATCTGCCCGATGGTTGGGTGGTGTATGTGTGCACCAAATGCAAGGAGCTCCTAACCTTCAGAGACTGAATGCAGGCTCTGGAGGCCAGGGTGGCTGAACTGGAGGAGCTAAAGGAGGCAGAGAGGTATGCCGATGATGCTTTCTGGGAAAATGTAGAATTGTCCCACCTCCAGTCTGACAGCCCCTGTGCTATTTAGGAGGATGAAAGGCTCAGGGAAGGAGAGCAGTCAAGGAGAGCAGAGGAAAACCTTCCCATAGTTGAAACCCTCCTTCCAGATGATTTTGGGGTATCCTCTTGCAATGAGATTATGTTTCTGGGGGAGGGAACTCCAGTCATTAGGACAAGGCAGGTGTTAGTAATGGGGAGATTCTATCATGAGAAACGTAGATAGCTGTGTTTGTGATGACCGGAAGAACTGTGTGGTGACTTGCCCGCCTGGTGTGAAAGTTGCAGATCTCTCGAGGCATCTAGATTGACATATGTGTCATGCTGGGCAGGAGACAGTGGTCATGGTACATGTACGGAAAGGTAGGAGAGAGGTTGTGGAGACCAAATTTAGGTTGCTAGGAAAGTGACTGAAATCCATGGCCTGTATGGTGCCATTCTCAGAAATGCTTCCAGGTCTGCGTGCAGATGCAGAGCCAGATAGGCAGGCAGAGCTTCAGAGTCTCAAAGCATGGATGAGACGATGCTATAGGGAGGAGGTGTTTAGTTTTATTAGGAACTGCGGACACTTTTGGGAGAGGGGGAGCCTTTTCAGGAAGGATGGGCTCCACCTAAACCAGGGTGGATCCAGACTGCTGGCCCTAAACATTAAAAAGGTCGTAGAACAGTCTTTAAACTAAGAGATGAAGGAAAGTCGGTTGGTGCGGAGGAGCACATGGCTCAGGTAGTGATTTCTCTAAGAGGAGAGTCTATTGACAGAGATTCTCTAGGTTTTAGGCAGAAGGAGTGTATGGAAGAGTATAAAGTATGGGCCAAATCATATGGGAAACAATTACATACAAATAGGAGGCTATTGACATAATAGGCATCAAAAAACCTGGTGGAATGAGGACAAACAGTGGGACACAATCATACTGGGATATAAAATATATTGGAAGGCTAGAATAGGCCATGTGGGTGGTGGAGAGGCACTATATGTGAAAGATGATGTGGAATCAAATGAAGTAAAAAATCATAAATGAATCAAAATGTTCTATAGAATCTCTATGTACAGTAATTCTATGCTCTAATCAGAGTATAGCAGTAGGGATCTATTATCGACCACCTGATCAGGACAGTGATCGTGACTATGAAATGCTAAGGGTGATTAGAGAGGCTATCAAAACAAAAAACTCAGTAATAGTGGGGGATTTCAATTATCCCGATATTGACTGCGTATACGTCACCTCAGGAAGAAATGCAAAGATAAAATTCCTGAATACCTTAAATGACTCTTTCTTGGAGTAGGCAGTACAGGAACCCACAAGGGGAGAGGCAATTCTTGATTTAGATCTGTGCGGAGTGCACGATCTTGTCCAAGGGGTAATTATAACAGCACCGCTTGGGAACAGTGACCTTATTATAATAACATTTAACATTCCTGTGGTGGGAAAAACACCTCAGCAGCCCAGCATCACGGAATTCAATTTCAGAAAGGGGAACTACACAACAATGAGGAGGTTAGATAAACAGAAAATAAAAGGTAGAGTGACTAAAGTAAAATCCCTGCAAGCTGCATGGACACTTTTGAAAGACACCATGATAGAGGCCCAACTTAAGTGTATACCCCAAATTAAAAAATACAGAAAAAGAGCTGAAAAAGAGCCACCATGGGTTAACAAGCATGTAAAAGAAGCAGTAAGAGATAAAAAGGTATCTTTTAAAAAGTGGAATTCTAAACCTAGTGAGGTAAATAATGAGTATAAACACGGCCAATTTAAGTGTACAAATGTAATAAGAAAAGCCCAAAAGGAGTTTGAAGAACAGCTAGTCAAAAACTCCAAAAGTAATAACAAAATGTTTTTAAGTACATCAGAAGTAACAAGCCTGCTAAACAACCGGGGGAGGGAGGGGCGGTGGAGGGCTGTATGATCCAGAGGCTAAACGAGTACTCAAAGATGTTAAAGCCATTGAGGATGTTAGGGAGGTTTCCAAAACTGAGCCATCCTTTGTAGGTGACAAATCGGAGGAACTATCCCAAACTGAAGTGTCATTAGCAGAAGTTTTGGTACAAACTGATAAACTTAACAGTAAGACGTCATTGGGACAAGATGGCATTTACCCAAGAGTTCTGACACGTAGATGGTATCGTGAGCTTTTGTGGGCACAACCCACGAATTCAGAAGACCGGAATTTTGAGTTTAGGTTGTGCAGAGCCAAAATAGAGGAGAAGGAAGAGGGGGGAAGGAAAAAAAAGGAATGGTGTGGGAAACAAGGACCAGAGGGTATGAAAATACCAAAGGGAAAAACAAGTAGGCAGAACTGGTAAACTATAAGCACCTGAAGATTGGATAGTGAAAAGGAAGCAGATAAGGATCAAAGGATATCAATTGAACTGTTCAGTCTGTCCATAGACGTCAGCCTCCGCATTTCTCACAGCCTGTCTCGTAAGCCTCCTTTACATCAGCTGTGTCCTTTGCAGAGACTGGGGGATGAAAACTGAGCAGATGTCCTGAGCAAGTTCTTCTTCATCCCAGTCCTTTGGCATCCCACAACTGTCCTGGTTTAGGTCCTGGCTGTGACTGAGCAGGGGTTTCTGTGCAGTCGGTAGCTGTCACAAGCTTTTCACCGAGGGTTGTTCTAATTGGGATGGGTTTGGGTTTGGGTATATTTCCCACTCTCACATTTTCAGCAACCTGGCGAATGAGGGACTCTCTACAGCATGGAATATCTAGCCTAACATTCCAGGCATTGAGAACCAAAGGTGGGTAACAAGGGCCCCAACACCCTCTTTCCAGCTGGTGCCTATTAAGGTTTCCAAGGTGATGACACATTATTGAGCATGGAGCTCCATTAAATATGGAATTCACATTAGAAAATCCAGCTGTGCATCAATCATTTCTGTGAACAATTTAACTGTTACATTTCAGTGTGTGAAGAGACCAATCTGACAAAACCATAACACCAGATGTGTTGTCTGAAATGAATATTGTCTCTCCTTCCAGGATTTCTCCTACAACCCTCATCCTAGGCCAAGAGCAATAGGAAGTCCGGAGAAATTACAGTGCACACAGGAGGCATTGCTCTAACTCACAGTTCAACCCATTCTCCTTTGTCGCATGTCGGATTTCAACTCAACCAAGGTCACCAACCCCTCCACCTTCATCCTGCAGGGCATTCCGGGCCTGGAGACAGCTCATGTCTGGATCGCCATCCCCTTCTGCACCATGTACATTGTAACCCTCTTCGGGAACTTCACCATCCTGTCTATCGTGAAGATGGAGTTGAGCATTCATGGGCCCATGTACTATTTCCTCTGCATGCTGGCCATGACTGACCTGGGTCTGTCCACATCCATCGTACCCAAAGCACTGAGCATCTTCTGGTTCAATTCCAGGGAGATCAATTTCAGTGCCTGCCTCACCCAGATGTTCTTCATTCACTGCTTCATAACAATAGAGTCTGGAATCCTTGTGGCCATGGCTGTGGATCGCTACGTGGCCATCTGCCATCCCCTGAGACACTCCACCCTCTTGACAAACGCTACAGTAACCAAAATTGCCCTGGCCATGGTGCTGCGTGGGGCCTTGATCACATTGGCTGTGGTCATACTGCGGAACTAACATAGTCCCCCAGCTGCACTGTGCGCACATGAATGTAGTGTGGCTGGCGTGTGGTGACACCCGAGCCAGTAGTCACTACGGCTTATTTGTGCTTCTCTGTCTGAAGGGTCTGGACTCTTGACAAGTGCTACAGTAACCAAAATTGCCCTGGCCATGGTGCTGCGTGGGGCCTTGATCACATTGCCCTTTGTCCTCCTGGCGAGGCAGTGGTCATACTGCAGAACTAACAGCTGCACTGTGCGCACATGAATGTAGTGTGGCTGGCGTGTGGTGACACCCGAGCCAGTAGTCACTACGGCTTATTTGTGCTTCTCTGTCTGAAGGGTCTGGATGTGTTTTTTATTGTTGTGTCCTATATTCAGATCCTCAGGGCCATCTTCAGCCTCCCCACAAAGGACGCCCGGCTCAAAACTTTTGGGACCTGCACCTCCCACCTCTGTTCCATTTTAGTGTTTCACATCCCAGGTCTCTACTTCTCCCTCTCGGGACGATTTGAGGAGAAGAAGCCTCCCCCTGTCCAAGTTCTTATTGCCAACATGTACTACGTGATGCCCCCCTCGCTAAACCCCATCATCTATGGTGTGATGACCAAACAGATCCGGAACCGGATGCTGCATTTCTTTGTTCACAAAGGTGCCTAAGTGCTCTGGCTCGCAGACCATGGCTTGTGCAGAACTGACTCGGGAGATGGTGCTTGGCCCTATTCACTGAGTTGGTCAGTCAGAGAGTCATTCAATCCTGTCCTGATCTTACTAGTGCTCTGTCAACGAGACTAACTGGGTTATTGGTCTGGGTGGAATTCGTTAACACTTCAGGTGTCCAAGTGTCCAATTTCTTGTAATTGTCTCCCTGCTTCCCTGATTAGTTCCTCAAATCCTTGCCCCTACACAACTTTAATCCCGTCAGGCACATTCATTTCTTCATTGTATCCCCCAGGTCTCCACCTCCGTTCTGACACTCCCATCAAAGTCCAGCACTTTTGTTCACTCTTCTCCTCCCCTTCTATCCCTCGCTGGAACATCCTGACCTCTGTCCTCACCAGCCGGGCTCTCTCTGAACCAGGGTTAGGACGGAAGCTGCTACAAACCGACAAGGAGACTTTCGCAAGGATACAGCTCTGGAGGCAGTAGGACAGACAAGAGTGGGGGGGTAAAATCATGCAAGTTTGGCTTCAAATGGTGTGGAAGAGGAGCTGGCTGCATCCATGATGACTGCAATTGGCAAAACAGAGATTGTTGGTTTGTGCGTATTGTTCGGTGATCCATGTGAAGGCAAATGTAGTTTAACCCGAGTGTAATTGTCTTACTGGTTTGCAGCCTTTCAGTGGATTTTCATTATCAATAATCGTACTGTTCCTTGGAAACAGGGGTCTGCACTCAAACATTCCAGCGCTGATCTAGGTTCCCTTGCTGCCCTCTCATCTTTGAATTTGAACTTTTCACTCATCTCTGCATCATTGCGTTGAGGAACTGTTGTTTTATTTTTCAGATATCTTGTTTTGAACCACAATTCCATTTCTGGTTTTTCACAAGTATGCTACTTTCCGGACTGATACCTGATACATTTTTGAAAAAAGCACTAGATTCCGCTTCAATCCATACTTTTCTCCTGACAATAATGAGTAATAAATCCATCATAGATCGATTTGCTGTATTGTCACAAAACCATGCACTGGGCCTAATTCCCTAATTATAGGTGACTCCCAGCCCTTTAGTGAGCTGGTGTGGCCTCCCACATATGCAGAGGGGGAAGGACAGGCTCAAATCCACAACACTTGGTGAAGAACGTGGGCAGTGTACCAACCCTTATAATAACGGGTCCTGTACACACAGCACAGAAAGTGTGCCTAGTTGAAGATATGGAGGTTTGGTCCAAGCAGGCCAACCTCCAGGGAAGTTGTGAAGCCACTCCTTCCCCGTTGTCCATACGGTTTTCCAAGATAAGACGTCTTGATGACACTAAAGCCTTTTTTTTAATCTTTCAAGTGGGACACAGCAGTAGATGGGGTGGAGGACTGTAGCACTCAGCAACCCTCTTGATCCCTTACCTCATGGGAGCCCACCATATGGTCTATGCATGGCTCCAAATTGTATTAAGAGGAGGCCTGAAACATTAGCCCATGTATCACAGGACTGCTCAGGGGCCTGAGGCCTCAACAGCAATTTTCAGACTGTGTTAATATAAAGTAGCCGTGGCCAACCCGCAGCTCCTGAGCCGCATGTGGCTCTTGCCACCCAACAGTGCAGCTCGTGAAGCCATTCCTGCACCCCCAATATCCCACACCCCATGCCAGTTCCCTCTGCCTGCAGCTTCCCTGTGCTTACCAGGTCAGAGCTGCGGGTCTCAAAAATGACATCCAAGATGGTGGCCTTCTTTCAATTTTTTCAGTTGTTTTTGTTTTTGCTCGGAAAATTCTGTTTGGGGGGGCACTTTTTTTTCTGCTTGACAATTCTGAAGCGGCTCTTCACATTTTTTCTGCCGTTTTGTCTCTCTTTGGTACATGGGTTGGCCACCCATGATATAAAGCAAAGTGAAGCTGTGAGCAAGAGGCAGGTTCCCGCTCACAGAAGCAAAGATTGAGGGGGTATTTGATAGCAGCTTTCAACTTCCTGAAGGGAGGTTTCAAAGAGGATGGAGAGAGGCTGTTCTCAGTAGTGACAGATGCAGAACAAGGAGCAATGGTCTCAAGTTGCGGTGGAAGAGGTCCAGGTTGGATATTAGGAAAAACTATTTCACTAGGAGGGTGTCTACACTTCACCCCTTTTCCGGAAAAGGGATGCAGATTACACACATCGTTATTGAAAATGAAGCAGGGCTTTAAATCTTCATTTGTATAAGCATGGCTGACCCTTTTCTCTGGCTCGGGGCTTTCCCATAATAAAGCGCCAGTCTAGACGGGGATCTTTCGTAAAATAAAGCTTTTTCCGAAAGATCCCTTATTCCTCTTAAAAAAGCGGCAGCCATGTTTATACAAATGAAGCAGGGGAGATTTAAATCCCCGCTTCATTTGCAATAACAATGTGTCTAATCTGCATCCCTTTTCCGTAAAAGTGGTGAAGTGTAGACACAGCCCTAGTGAAATAGTTTTTCCTAATATCCAACCTGGACCTCTTCCACCACAACTTGAGACCATTGCTCCTTGTTCTGCCATCTGTCACTACCGAGAACAGCCTTTCTCCATCCTCTTTGGAACCTCTCTTCAGGAAGTTGAAGGATGCTATCAAATCCCCCCTCTATCTTTGCTTCTGCAGACTAAACAAACTCAATTCCCTCAACTTCTCCTCCTAGGTCATGTGCTCCAGAAAAGGGGTGCAGTGTAGAAGTGTGGTGAAGCACTGGCTTGGGATAACTAGGCCAATAGTGGAGTCTCCATCCCTAGAGGTTTTGAAGTCTCGACTTGACAAAGCCCTGGCTGGGTTGATTTAGTTGAGATTGGTCCTGTCTAGAGCAGGGGGCTGGACTCAATGTCCTTCTGAGGTCTCTTCCAGTTCTATGGTCCTAGGATCTCTTTAATCAAGCACTTTTTGATTGCTGAGACCCTCTATGACCAGGAGCCCAAGTCCCTGCTTCCACACCCGGTTTGATGCTCCCAGCCTGGCAACGAAGCCTTGGCCCATGGCTGAACGATGCTCTGCAGTACAAATTCAGAACATCAAAGCCACTTATACCCATTGGCAGCCCGAGCCCACCTGGCACAGATATTCTGGTGGCTCTAACAGGGTCACGATTGACTCAACTCTTTGTCGCTCTTCTCCATATAGGAGTGTCCAATTCTTACCTTAACCAGGAGGACGACCCCACCCTCCCCTGGGTTTAGGAACAGGTTCACAGAGACGTGACACAAGCTCTCAGAATTTCACAGTGGCCCCGACATGAGCTGACAGGGGATCCCCACCATCACATGGATTGAAACCCCCCAACTCAGGAAGCCAGGACCCAGCTGGTTCTCCCCTGCTGTCTTTGCACACCCAGAAGTTCTCCCAGAATATTCCACCCGCTGGCTATTTAGGAGAATAGAAGACACCGATTGAAATCTCACTTCTTCTGTCTGGGAGTCCATTTTGAGGTGAGACATGATGGTAGTTCCTGCCCAAGCACCAGCTAGCTGCCCCATTGGGAGTGTCAGAAGCTGCTGAGGTCCCCTTGTCTGTAGTGAGAATCCTCATTTAGAGGGTTATACTGGATCTGGTGGGACCTCCTGAGCCAAACGGAACAAAAGGAGCAGACCTACCATGTCACTCCCTGGAAGCTTTAGTGAGCACGATAGACTTTTGAGTACTCTGTGTGCCCCTGCAAGGCCTGTCTCTATCTTCCTAATGTGCTTAGAACTGATGAGACACAAACAAATTGATGAAATAAAACATTATACTTCGTGAGCACCAGGTGACATTTACCTAAGAGTTTTGAAAGGACTGTAGTTTGTAACCCAGACCTTAGATCAACTTCTCTGCCTCTCCAGCATCATTAGCCACCAATCATGCTGCCTCCCTTCCCACTACTACCAGGCCTTCTAGGCCCAGAACTGCACCCACACAGCAGGCTCCTTGTCAATCAATGGCAGCTCCTGTCCCAACCTTGGGGGTGGAGGGATCCGAGACGGTGAGAATGTGGCTGAGGATGGTCCAGTGAGGGATGGAGCAAGGGGAATGTCATAGCTTCCTAACAGTCAGGATGGCTAACTATTGGAAAAGATGCCCTGGGAGGTTCTGGAATCTCTATCACATGAGATATTTCATAGCAGGTTAGAAAGGCACCTGTCAGGGATAATCTAGATGATCCTGAGTCCTACCGCACAGGCAAGGACCTGGACTTGATGACCTCTCAAATTCTCTTCATGTTCTAGTGTTCTATGATTACATGAAAATGGCAGATGAATTGTAATATTAATAAATACAAAGTGTATCACTCTTAAAAGCACCTAATCAGAGATTCTGAGGATATGTTGAAGAAGGTAGAATTCCAAGTGACTAGGAGAGATTGTGAACTGTTCTTCTGCCAAA